TCGCCCCCGACGCTCACCCCGTGTCGTCCTCAGAGCGAGACGCGCTGCAGAGTCCGTCGGGCTGGGTGCCGCTGCTGCTGGCGCTGCTCCACGAACTACAAGCTCCAGCCTCACCCTGGAGCCCCTACTTTGCGCTCTGGCCCGAGCTGGGCCGTCTGGAGCACCCCATGTTCTGGTGAGGTCTGTGGTACGGTGGGGAGCATTTGCACTAGCCTGCTCAGCCCACCCAGCATGGGTGCCCCTAAGCTTCAGACCCGGTAGAGCGACGGGAGCGGGCCGGGGTGTCCCCACAGGCCCGAGGAGGAGCGGCGGCGCTTGCTGCAGGGCACCGGTGTCCCCGAGGCTGTGGACAAGGACCTGGTCAACATCCGTGGCGAGTACTACACCATCGTGCTGCCCTTCATGGAAGCCCATCCAGACCTGTTCCGTCCCAGTGTCCGCTCCCTGGAACTCTATCGCCAGCTCGTGGCCCTTGTGATGGCCTATAGGTCAGTCAGTAAAGGCATGGAGGACTGGGCCCTTATTTTTAGACCTCTATTGAGGGGCTGGGGTGTGGAGCTGAGTGTACACCCCACCCCTAGTGCCTCACCTAAGCCTGGGCCTTAGGCAAGTTCTCTCTGGCAGCTTTCAGGAGCCCCTGGAGGAAGAGGAAGAGGAAAAGGAGCCAAACTCCCCTTTGATGGTGCCTGCCGCAGACATACTAAACCACTTAGCCAATCACAATGCCAATCTAGAGTACTCTGCAGTGAGTGGATCCCACCTAGTTCTTGTTATTGCCTTGATGACTGGGCACCTGATTCAAGCCAGTTTTGTCATTGGGCTTTGCTTTCTTACTCCTAAAAATGAGGTGAAGTTAGTTCCTGCTTGTACTTTAGGTATTCACATTATGTAAAATCGTTTGAACATAGGCTAGAACCCAGTATGATAGTGCAAGCTAGTAAGGCAGAAGGACCCAGAGTCCATGGCCACCCTGAGCTAGAGTAGGATTGTCTCAAAAGAGGTGGCCTGCAGGGCCGGGAATTTGACTCAGTGGTTCCGCTGCCCACCTTGCAAGCGCAAGGACCTGAGTTCAGTCCCCTGTACCCCCGCAAAGAGTGGCCTGCCCCAAGTGGTAGCACATACCTGTAATCCCAGCACTCTGGAGGCTGAGGCAGGAGGATGGCTGTGAGTTCTCACCAGCCTGAGCTACATAGTGAGACCCCCATCTCCCCCCACCCAAAAAAAACAACCCCATGACAAACTTGTTACCATCATTTCTTTGAGCTTGAGTTGGGTGGTTTGCACAGCTATATTCCATTCCCTGCTAGCTGCTGACACAGGAGTGTGCCAAGACTTGGCTGGCCCTTTGGGTAATATAGCAAAGGAGAAAAGTGTGGGAATGTTAAAGACCAGAGATCTAAGATAACCTTGTTTTTTTACTGTGTTCTGTTCTCTATGGAAAATTGAGAAAAGTATGGTATTAAAAATTAGCAAGTGCCATTAGTTTTCTTAATCCTTGCTTTGTGGAGGGGGTAAGTGGAGATTGAACCCAGTTTTCACACTGCTGCATCCATAGCCCCTTTTTAAGACAATCCTAAATTGTAGGCTAGACTGGCACTTGGGGTCCTCTTGCCTCAGCCTCCCAAGTGCTGGGATAATAGGTATGTGCCACCACACCTGACTTAATCCCCATTCTTTTATGTGGGCTTGACTGCTTATTTTTTAAAAGCTGTAGGCTTTTAAAGTGCTAACGTGACTGAGCAGAGATGGACCTAGTACATGAAGCTGACCCCTTTTGTTCTACAGTACAATGTCTGACAGTATAGATACAGCTCATGGCTGAATACACCTGCAGAAAGCTCTTCCTAAGAAGGCAGCCATCCTCCCCGGGAATGGCCTGGGAAGGGTGTGGCTCTACCTTCTCCCTTTTATCCCAGGATTATCTTCGGATGGTGGCTACTCGGTCCATTCCTAAAGGCCATGAGATTTTCAACACTTACGGGCAAATGGCTAATTGGCAGCTGATTCATATGTATGGTTTTGTTGAGCCGTATCCTGACAACACAGATGACACAGCTGACATTCAGATGGTGACTGTTCGTGAAGCAGCCTTACAGGGTGAATATCCCATCAAGCCGGTCTTTGACTTTTTGTACTAGCTCTGCTGTAAATGAGCCCTCAAGTACACTGAAATTTTCCCTGTCCCCTTGTAGGAGTGAAAGGGGAAGCTGAAAGGCTCCTCCTATTTGAGCGCTGGGATTTCTTGTGCAAAATGGAGATGGTAGGGGAAGAGGGAGCATTCGTGATTGGGCGTGAGGAGGTGCTGACTGAAGAGGAGCTGACCACCACACTTAAGGTAAGGGCTGAGAACAGCTGTGTGATGCTGAGAGATTAATTAGAATGAAATAAAGGTAGGCAGGAGAGGGACGGGGGGATGCAGAAAGGATCTTAATGCTCCCAAGCTGGGATGGTAGTGGTGTCTCTGAATCTTCAAAAATCACAACCAAGCCCGTCATGACAAAGAGCCCCACGTTTGCTTCTAGGTACTGTGTATGCCTGCTGAGGAGTTCAGAGCCTTTAAGAACCAGGATGGATGGGGAAAGAATGAAAGGGAAGAGAACAACTTAACCATCACCAGTATCCCAAAACTCAAAGCATCATGGAGACAGCTGCTTCGAGACAGTGTTCTTTTGACCCTGCAGACCTATACCACAGACTTAAAAACTGAGCAGGATGTCCTCAGTAATAAGGAAGCCTATGCCAAACTCAGCTGGAGGGAACAGCAGGCCTTACAGGTTCGCTATGGGCAGAAGATGATCTTACATCAGTTGTTGGCACTAACAAGTTAGTTCCTCTTGCCTGAAGGAAAAGCCTTAAGAACACTATTCTAATGCTCTACTATTGCCAAAAAAGGAAAGTTTGGACTTTTTTGCTTTTATTAAATACCAGAAGGGAAAGTAGCAATGGTGTTAACTCATCATTGCTAGTTTTTTTTGTTTGTTTGTTTGTTTGTTTGTTTTAAGATGACCTTTGGGGGGGCAGGGCCAGAGATGGTCTCACTGTAATTTGGGCTGACCTCCAGCTTAGATCTTTCTGCCTCATCCTCCTGGTTGCTGGGGCTCTAGGCGTGTGTCGTCATTGCCATCAAGAACAAAAGTTTTTATAGCTGTGCTGTTCTTCTATAGCCAGGTATTAATAGCGTGGTATTAATAGCATGTGATGACATGGGACTCTGGAGGAAGACATGGTTCAAATTTGGGTCTACTTTGAGAAAGTCACATTCCTTTTTGAAACCTCCATTTCCTAGAAAGGACTAAAAAAAAAGCTACATAATCAGTACCAGGTTGGAGTCACTGGTTGCTGTACTTACAATCTTATCTTTCAAGAAGAAACCCGAAGACACTGAAGACGTTCAACTCTAACTTGCATGTAATTGTTTAATTCTGAAACTTTGCCCTCCCTAGCCATAAAACCAGACTACCATCAAAGGTAATGGTAAATTAAAACATTAAATTTTAATACCTACTTTAAAATAAAAGATACTGGCTGGTATCTTTACATTTGGTATGACCACAGCAAACTCGCATAGTGGGTTTTATTACTGTCAAAACACTGTACAAAAGTAATTTCCTTGCTTGTTTAAACATTGCCAACTTAGTGGGAAGTCTGTTTAGCCTGAAGTGGGTGTCTCCCAGTGGTCCTGCACTTGGCTGTCCACTTTCCTTACCAGCACTGGCTGCTGCTACTGAGAAGAGGCACAGTGGACTTACATTCACATAAGTGTGGGAACTACAAAGGCCACAAAATAAAACGGATCAACACACTCACAAAACGCTTAAATCCTTCCAAAAGGGGTTATTGGTCTGGTTACTGTAAACACTGGCTGTATGGCATAAGCAGAATGATACGGGAGATCTGTAAGATTTTGTTCCTTTCTCTAGTTTCCAAGTAGCATGAGTGATGGGGACACCTTAAGCCTGGTTTGGAACCAAGGAGCAGATTGTCCAGCAGGACCAAAAATTGGGCACCTTTCCCTGAGGTCAGCTTTAGATCAGCTTTGGGATCAAAGGTAAGCAAAGCGCTTTGGGATCTCAATGTGAGCCCTTCCCATCTTCTAACACACACATTTTTAATAAATATTTTTAAAAGCTCTTCTATACACATTAAAAATACCTTGAGGTTAGGCATGGTAGCACACACCTGTAATCCCAGCACTTGAGGCTGGGACAGGAGGAATGCTGTGAGCTTGAGACCAGTCTGGGCTACACAGTGAGACCCTGTCTCAAAAAAACAAAACAAAAAATCTTGCATAATATTTAAACTTTTTTGCTATCCTTTGGGATAGTGGGACTGTCAGAAGACAGGGAGCTGTGCCCCTAGACAAGTGCAAAGCATCAGGTGCCTCTCTACTTTCAAGTTTGTGTACTTGCCTTGAACACATTTTTCACAGACTCAAGAAGTTCCAGACAAAGTTTTTTTTTTTTTTTTTCCATATATTTACACAAGTTCAAAGTGATATTCACAGCATGTTCTAAATTTTGGCCAAGAGTCAAAAAAATGCATTTAAACTTTGGAAAGTGCCCACCTAAACAGGAGGCTGGCCCCAACAATAAGTGGGACAGACACCCGAGAACCAAAGGGCTGGGAAAAATCAGGAAGAGTTGAAAGGATTCTTCAGTTTATGAACTTGGTGCAGTGGGGACTGCGAGGCTGACACCTTTACAATGGAGATACAGTTCATTTAACTGGCACCTGTCCCTTCCATTACTTGTTGTGCCTGCTTCTGTCCCATGCAGCACTGTGCAACTGACTGGAATAACCTAAAGAATGGAGACAATTACAAATTTACTCATAAGGAAAGTTTAGAACAGTACCTTCTAAATAACAGACCCAAACAAGCTTTTAATTCATGCTCAATCTGGTGTTTCACTGCTAAATAATTAAGTTACTTTTAACTCACTTTTCAATTTCTGGGGCACAGTGTACAAACTCATGGTTCCAGAACTTAAATGCTGGATTTTTAATCAGCTCAATGAAAGTAATAAGAAGACCCCAAGGATGTGGCCTATTTACAATCAACCGTTCCAAGAGAACCCTGGAGAAAGAAAGGAAGAAAGGGTTAGTTAACAAATTGATGACCACAGCTCCTTGACCTTTCCCCCTATTTCTTGACTATTAGGCCACTTTAAAAAGTGTTTACCTTTATAATACAGACTAACATGGTAATGCATGTGGATTCTGGTTAGAATATGTAAGAAGGAGTCCTGGCCAAACCTGAAGGTTAACTATTGTCAAAGGAGTAAGAGTATTTGAAAGCTGCTTAAAGGAGGGGGCCTGCATTCTTACAATCCCAGCACTCAAAGGGCTTGAGGCAAGGGGAGGGTCACAAGTTTGAGTCCAGCCTGAGCATTTAGTAAGACCTTGCCTCAAAATTTAAAAGGAATGGAGATGGTGCCCACTTGTGTGTGCACTTGTGACTGACCCAGTGCAAAGTCCTTGGGTTCAATTCCCATGAATGTAAAATAAATGGATGGTTGGGTGTGCACGTGCATCATTAGCTACTTGCCACTGCCACTACCTCAGAGAGAAGCTCTGTTTCAGTTAACATAAGCTGGTCTGGTCTCCAGTGCCACAAAAACAAATTATTACAACAATGATTCACTGTACTAATAACTATTAGGAAACATCTCTATTTTGTACACAACTGTGTTCCTTATTTCACACAGTACTACCAAACAATGCAAAGAATGAACTCAATTTTTAAGAATTTAAAATGCAGAGCCAGGGATTTATCTCTGGTTCTGCCGCCTGCTTCACAAGCACAAGGACCCTAGTTCGATCCCTGTTACCAAACAAAAAAATTTAAAATGAAAAGTACAGGGCAGTGATGGTGAACCTTTTGGAGCTTTCAAATATACAAATAGCCTGCTGTGGCACCAGTGCCATAGATTAACCACTACTGGTATAGGGGAATCATTTTTGATGCATTTGAAAAATAAATCCTCACCTTGTGATCTGTTCCTGGATAGCCTCAGTGTTGGCCTCTGCAAAAAGGTACAGCATGGTGCAGCTGAAGTAGTGAGTGTGGCTATTTGGATACCGCAGCTGATTTGCAATTGCATTCAAGAAGAGATACCGACCTAGCAATTAAGAAAATATAGTAAGGTCTTGCTCTGATTTACCCTATTGTTTCTCAGGACCTGCACATCTCTTGTCCCTGGGTTTTACTGATACACTTCCCATGTTAGAAATTAAAAGTAGTATTTCAAAAATACTCATTGAAAAAAGACCCACTATATATTGACATAATGTTAATAAATATATTTTCTACACTTGATCTTAGCCAAAAGGCCGAGAAGCGATAATAAATATATTTTCTGAAGGCCAGAGATGTAGCTCAATGGTTCTGCCACCTGCCTCACAAGCCTAAGGACCCGAGTTTGATCCCCAGTACAAATATATATATGAAAAAAACCCTTAGCTGTCATTTTACATTTTGCAGATTTCTTTAACGTCGCTCCTGTAGAAGAAGGAGGGAAACTGTACTCACTGACCTTCATACAACTCATATTTAACATGCTCCCTGGTGATAAGGTGCCAGTGTTGAGGAAAACAGGCCAATTAAAACTAACATGAACCTATGTTTAAATAAGACTACTAAAGAGCATATTCATTTTTATTTGAAAGTACTGCAATGACACAACAAAATACTAATTGAAAGAGCAAGATTTTGGGTAATTTTTCCCTTTATGCGTTGCTGTATTTTCACTTAACATATAAAGATAGCCATCCAGTCCTATAAATATTCTTGCCTACGGCTTAATTTTTGTGATTGGATTGTGGCAAAAGTACAACAGACTTGACTCCACAGACTGGAAGGTCCACTCACCCTCAGTGTCCAGGTCCACAGCCAGGTTCTGGAAGATGTCCATGTGTGCCGAGTGAGTGATGGTGCTCATGGAAGGTGTGCTGCCCTTGTTGTGGATGTGTGCAATGGCCTGAGTCCCTACGTAGAGCACCAGTGCATTGATGAGCTGAAGGTTGTAGCGATTGCCAGGCTCATTGGATACCTACAACAGCAAAACAAGAAACTTATTCCCACAGGGCCTCAAAGAAAGGGTGAAGAGCTCTCAATGTTTTGATCTAGGTATTGGTACCTGAGGCTGGCATAGCAGTGCAAGCCTGTGATCCCGGCACCCTGGGAGGCTGAAGCAGGACAATCCCAAGTTTGAGCCCAGCCTGGAAAACTTAGCTAGACCCTGTCTCAAAAATAAAACGAGCTGGGGGTGTAGCTCAATGTGAGGCCATGGGTTCAATCTCTAGTTCCTTACCACAACCCCAAAACAGAACTGTCATTGATTTAATGAGGTTATTTTAACAAATACATATCCATTCCAAGAGTGGCTATATTGAGAGAAACACAAGTTCCTTTGGGAACCCAAGCAAATGTCATCACTGTGCTCATGACATAGCTCTGAAGTGAAGCAAAGTCGAAATACACACGTCATCCCAATGATGATAGATTTGGAAAAAAATGTTAGTTTTAAGGTGTGGAAACATTGCTAAGATAATCCCATTTTGAGTTATTCTACATAGCAAACCAGAATACATTTACCTAGGAAAATCTTGGGGTATGACTGTCAGTAGTCTGTTCTTACAAAAAAATCATCTGTCCCCAGGCTAAAATTATAGTACTGTGTAACTTACCAAATATATTAGTATAATATACAATCCAGTTAAGCTCACCCAAATAATAGATATGACAATATGTTTCTAAATCTTCAAATTGCGGTGAAAAGACTTAACTCCTGAAATGGACCAAACAAAGGACAGTATAGGGAGTGCTTTCTATGGAAGAAACACCAGACAGCTTAAGCCAAACCTGTAAATTGCTACGCAGATCAGACAGAAAAGTGACCGGTGATCGAGTTTTAAGATAGGAATCCAAATCCTTTTTGAATTGAGGTGGCATTACTCCAGTGAAATTGGTGAGAATCCGAGGTGCAATGTTAATTTCACTCAACATATCCACCTGCCACAAATGCCAAGAAGCACAACCAGAATCAAATGCAAGAATTAACAAATTCAATCTATGCTACAAAATGGTAAGTTTTTTTTTTTTTTCTAAAACTACATATATTATACATGGCCTTGGAGAACACTGACACCTTATATTGGTTTAACCAATCTTTAACTAGACCATATATAAAATAAGAACTCATTCCATAAAATGTATTTCCTTTCTAAAGTAAGGCAAGATTCTTTTGATGGACAGTCTAGTTTATGCAAATAAACAAGTTTTCCTAAACTTAAGACTTCAAAGTAAGAGTCCAGAAGGAGATTCCAAGAGTGCAAGTCTTTGGAAAGCCCCAGCAGAACAGAAAATACTACCACTTACTACACTTTTTAAAAAGTGCATTGGGGGTGGGAGTAGAGAATACATAAAAACTATAGTATTTTCAGTGAT